GTCGAAGCCTCTCGTCCTTGGTTTTCTGAATCCTCTCTATCCTTTGCTAGCAAAAAGAAGTCCGTGTGTCGCAATAGTTCCAAAAAAAAAAACGTATGTCGCAACGTGAGAAAACTGTGAAGAAACTGTGTGAATGAACAGTAGCGATTCACTATTGATTGATCTCGATGATGTACAGATTTGTGACGATTCACTATTGATTGATGTCAATGATGTACACATTTATATCCCTGGAGGGACGCATCGCACACGCGCAGCGTTCACAATAGGCATGATCTGAACTACGCGTCCGTTACATTAAGATGCAATCGTTTGAGAGAGAAACCGGCTGTCGGTTCCACAAGCAGAGATTCTAATTAATTAATCCTAGCACTCCTCTTAAGCGAACCAGTCTGTAGTTGGATGGTTAGAGGGACTGTGGTATTTCGAGTTCACCAGGATTCAAGTCCTGGTGCTCGCAATTATTTCTGGATTTATTTCATGATTTTCGGCGATGCGCATTCAGTGGAAGGAGATGTTCCCGTCGATGACGAGGTGACTACTGTTATTTCGTAAATTTCAAGATGATACGTCGGCTCAGTCTTTTGGAGGGGCTCATATGGGTAGGGTGTGCATATGCGCGTTCATAAGGATGAATATATGCGCGTGTATATAAGCGCTTGTGTCTGTACTGTATTAAAAAACACCACCCCCAATATCTGCTTCAATTTTTTTTGTAAACATTATCACCACGATTAGTCTTCAAAAACCTGTAGGAAAAATACGAGGAAATATGTACAATATGCCATTAAAAACTCCATCCAAAAACTCAATAGAAAAATAAGAGAAACTGACATATTACAATGACTGCATTAATAATGTCTCATTAAAAACCTTCTATAAAAAACCATTTAGAAAAAAACTTATAAAGAAAAAAAGTGCAATATCAAAGATCTGAGGATCACAAACAGATTATCATTCAGAGATACACTCCCTATTAGAATAAATCCGAGACACTCCGTCGATCATCCAAGAACCAAGCAATTACACAATGCACGACACCGAGATTTGTTAACGAGGTTCACCGATATGGTTACATCTCTCGGACCTGACTACAGGCGCTCCTCCCCGTGATACCGCTACAATACCGCACTCAGTCGCCCTGGACGTCGGCAGTCGCCCTGGACGTCGGCACATGCCGCTGGCTTCCCCTGCATTCCTGTGCTACTATGTTGGCATATGTTACATCGTGTGTCTACCCTCGATATATATAAGAGACCTAGAATACAAATGTCCTACTAGGACACGACTCCATATCTTGTAAACACAATACTACTCAGAGTCCAACTGTAACCTATTTGTACACAATATTCGACACAACTCTAACAAACTCCACCTTGGCGAATATTCTCCACCACATTGAGTTCGTCAATGCATCAAACTTTCATATACGTTGAACTTGAGCTTATCCCATGAGCACCACTGCTACTCCAAAGACTCCATATGACTCCACCTGCAACTTGTAGTCCGTTCTTTTCTTGACCACAGTCAATGCTCGAGCGAAATTAAGTTCCACATTACTCTAGTTTGCGCTCCCAACTTCCAGTGTATCCGTCCAATGCCATCACACACTGATCATTGACATGCGTGAAAGTGAACAACTAACATATTGGATATCACACATAAGAGTTACCTGAACTCAACATCACCGCTCATTTCTTGCCCGTCTGTCTGAAACTTGAAAGAATTTCACCATTGCTTCTAATCATCGCGAGTCAAATTCGCAGTTGTCTCACCACATGTATGACCATCAAAGCCATGACCTGTCTCCATGTCCCGTGTGTACTGCACGCCTCGCCGCTATTACCGCGTCGAGCCTCCGCTATCCCGGTCGAGTCTCGAGGGTCGCAAAACCACACCACTCAACCCCCACTACAGAGTACCACCGATCATCACCGACCGATGACAAGTCTCATGCTTCCATCAGACCACTGGGCTCCAGTCCGAACTATGTGTCACTCGTTTTTTCCCACTGAATAGGCTTCGATTCTCTGGATCCTTACACCGTAGCCCCTCAATCTAGCTCCACCTTCAACATGACTCCATGGTAGATGATCATTCCACCCTCGCGCTCGTCGACTTCAAGCTCCGTGTGTACATCACCTTGAATCAACCCCGCGCCATAGTCTTGTCGAAGTCACACAAGCCCTCAGGCCTGCGCCACGTGTTTCCACGCTCCAGAAATCGATCACCATCAGTATCACACTCCTATGTCATTGTCGCCAATCCCACCTCCGTCTTCTGTAACAACCGACTTGCGTCGATTCGTCAAACTGCCTAGTCAGACCCGGCCGAACTCGTTCGACTATATGACACGCTTGAGGCTCCCAAATCGTCTTTGGAAAATTTTCATCCATCACATGATAATTTCATCTTAACTGAATTGACTTCCCGCAACGCCTTCAAGCATCTTTGTTGTGCCAACAAATCTTTCATCCGTGTCTGCCATAACCCAAAGTTTTTAGTTCTAATGAACTTCTCCATCTCAAACCCGATGCCCGATGGCATCATGATTCTTTGTATGGCTGACCTTGCAAAAATTAACAGAGCTTCTTTCCATGATGCCAAAGTACATAAGCAAACCTAACGTGGTCACCTCCCAGCACTAGTAGCAATTCAACCAAAACAATGTTGGTCTTCACGTGGTGTAACTCCTAGGCTCAACTCTCAATGCTAGCTATTTGCTTTGTCAAATCCTTAGCCTTCCTGACGTATGCATATCCCTTGATAGACTTTTTCCTTGCCGATTGATCTGCCTCCGTCCGTGTCACACAAGGACTGGTCCTTTTTTTGTTCCAAAACAAAACTCGTTTCGCTGCTTTGTAGCACTTCCTGCGTGCTTCACCGGCCATCTGAACCTGCTCGCGTTGCCACGCCTTGGCCTGTCCAGCTGCACGGGTCGCTACGGCCAGCCCCGCCTGGGCTTGCCTGCCCAATGAGCCACCAGGCGCTAGTGATCTCAGCGCCCGCCTAGAGTACGCTCGCACCATTAATCCTTCGACCCACCGCCGCACGACTCTCCTGATGATGACCCACAAGTGTAGGGGATCTATCGTAGCCTTTTCGATAAGTAAGAGTGTTGAACCCAACGAGGAGTAGAAGCAAATGATAAGTAGTTTTCAGTAAGGTATTCTCTGTAAGTACTAAAATTATCGGTAATAGATAGTTTTGTGATAAGGTAATTTGTAATGAGTAACAAGTAATGCAAGTAAATAAGGTGCAGCAAGATGGCCCAATCCTTTTGTAGCAAAGGACAAGCCTGGACAAATTCTTATATAAAGGAAAGCGCTTCCGAGGACACATGGGAATTATCGTCAAGCTAGTTTTCATCACGTTCATATGATTAGCGTTCGGTACTTTGAAATTTGATATGTGGGTGGACCGGTGCTTGGGCCCCTTACTTGGACAAGCATCCCACTTATGATTAACCCGTATTGCAAGCATCCACAACTACAACAGAAGTATTAACGTAAACCTAACCATAGCATGAAACATATGGATCCAAATCAGCCCCTTACGAAGCAACGCATAAACTAGGGTTTAAGCTTCTGTCACTCTAGCAACCCATCATCTACTTATCACTTCCCAATGTCTCCCTCTAGGCCCAAACAATGGTGAAGTGTCATGTAGTCGATGTTCACATGACACCACTAGAGGGATGACAACATACATCTCATCAAAATATCGAACGAATACCAAATTCACATGACTACTTATAGCAAGACTTCTCCCATGTCCTCAGGAACAAACGTAACTACTCACAAAGCATATTCATGTTCATAATCAGAGGGGTATTAATATGCATAATGGATCTGAACATATGATCTTCCACCAAGTAAACCAACTAGCATCAACTACAAGGAGTAATCAACACTACTAGCAACCC